TATGGATTCCTTCACTCGAGCGTAGGCGCAGAATCCTGGAACTTCCAGATTTTGTCCCAAGCTTAAAACTTAGATTCAAAGTTATAAAACATGGTCTCTAGGGCCAAAAACTTGAGGAAGCTATAGGAAACACTTATAAATGGTAAAACCATGGTGAATTCAAAATCATCTCACAAAACCAAAGCTCAAAAGCTTGTCAATTATACAAAACCAAACTTGAAATGTTGAAAATATAACTTGCATGTAATGGTATGAGTTTTAACCTTCCAAAACATAATCAAATGAGGCAGAAACATGTGAAATGTGATGAACTTCCAAAATCAAGCCATGATCAATGCATGCTTGTGAAGCTTCCTCAAAATCAAGCTCTAAATGCAAAAGAATTTAGATGCAAGTACGATTATCTTCTTAATTCTTCTTCCTAAGCTTAATTCTTGGCTTAATTAACTAATTCTCTTGAATTCATGCATTAAAGGCTACAAATATACAAGTAAAGGAGTGAATTTCTACCTCAAGCCTTGAATTCTCAAGTGTAAGAGTTTAGTTTTTCAAGTTCTCTCCAAATCCTTCTCTTTTCTAGCAATTCATTTTGATTGAGCTCAAGTCTCACAAAATTCTCAAGCTTAGAACCAAATCTTCCCACTCTCTCTGTCTCTCTCACGTTTGTGTGTGTTTGTGAGCTCAAAAATGTATATAAAATGAAGAAAAAGAATAAGTGGGGGTATAAAAGGTGCCTCCTTATATAGGCTTAGATCAAAATTTCATTAATTAGGCTTAATTCAGCATTAATAATTCTAATTTAATCGTTCCAAATCAAATTTTAATTAAACCTACCATAAACTTCAAAATATTCCAATTAACACATAAATCAAGTCAATTTCTAAATTGGATGCCGATAAAGCCTTCAATTCGCAAACCGAAACAGAAACATGAATAGATATTTCTACGTTAAACAGATATAAACACATATAAGGAAACATATGATGCAACATTTCACTTAATTATTTATTAGGCATAATTAAGCATGGATTAACGTTAATCACGGGTCGGGGTTATTACAGTTTTTCCCCCCTTAAAGAGTTTGGTTCTCCAAACTCGAGTTACCTTCATTTTGAAAGAACACTGGGTTCAAAGGAAACAACTCAGGGTATCTTCTCATCATGTCTTCTTCTATCTCCCAAGTTGCACAAGTTCCTCCATGATTCTACCAATCAACCTTCACTAACGGAATTTGCTTGTTTCTCAATCTTTTGATTCAGCAATTTATAATTTGCATTGGTCTCTTCTCGTATGTATAATCATCTTTTAGAAGTACATGAGTCGGCTCAATCACATGTAATGGATCTCTTAAATAATCCCGAAGCATAGAGATATGAAATACATTGTGCATATGTTCCATGACTGGTGATAAAGCTACCCAATATGTCACTGAATTAATCTTCTCAAGGATTTCATAGGATCCAACATATCTTGGTGCCAATTTGTCTTTCACGCCAAACTGTGTCTGGCCTTTCATTGGAGTCACTTTGATAAATACATGATCCTCGACTTCATATTCCCTGTCTCTTCTTCGGACATCGACATTGCTCTTCTGGTGGCTTTATACAGTTTTCAGTCTTTGTCAAATCAATTTCACATTTTCAGTTGTATCTTGTACCAGTTCTGATCCCAATAAAGGTCTATCACCTACCTCGGCCCAACAGATCGAAGAACGGCATTTCCTACCATACAAAGCTTCATATGGGGCCATACTAATACTTGAATGGTAGCTATTATTATACACAAATTCAACTAAAAGAAGGTAAGTCTCCCAATTGCCTTGAAAGTCTAACACACACATCCGTAACAAGTCCTCCAATGTTTGAATGGTCCATTCTGATTGGCCATCTGTCTGGGGTGATAAGCACTGCTTAATCTCAATTTAGTCCCCAAAGCTTGTTACAAACTCTGCCAGAATCACGAAGTAAACTTTGGGTCTCTATCAGACACTATGGACACTAGAACTCCATGTAATTTCACAATCTCATTGACATACAAATTAGCCAACTTATCCACATTGTATAAAGATTTGACAGGCAGAAAATGGGCAGACTGAGTTAAACGATCAACAATGACCCAGATATAATCCATACCTCGAGAAGAACGAGGTAGTCCAACAATGAAGTTCATCGTGATATGTTCTCACTTCCATTCCAGTATTGGGAGCGGCTAAAGTAATCCAGCGAGTCGTTGATGCTCAGCTTTAACTTGTTAGTAGTGTAAACATTTAGCCACAAAATCTGTAATACACTTTTTCATTCCCGGCTACCAGAAATTCAGTTTCAAATCATGATACATCTTTGTAGTCCCTGAGTGCATAGCAAATTTAGAATTATGAGCTTCGGTCATAACACGCTTTGTCAAATCAAAACAATCTGGCACACAAAGTCTGTTCTGAAATTTCAACACACTGTTTGCCAATATAAATCCCAACCTTGGTTTTGAGTCCATCTCATCCACGATCTTTTTCAAGAACTCATCTTGCAGTTGTTTCTCTTTAATTTGTTCGATGATTGCAGGCTGGGCAGAGATAGCAGCTAAGATTCCACCTTGTTCTCGCAATACAACTTCAATCTCCTTCTTTTCCAAGTCACATAGTAATTCTTTCTGACCAGTAAGCAAACATGACAAATTTCCTATTGACTTTCGACTCGAGGCATTTGCTACAGTATTAGCTTTTCCTGGATGATATAAAATCTGTAGATCATAATCTTTGATCGATTCCAGCCATCTTCTTTGTCTCATATTCAGTTCTTTTTGGGTAAATAAGTATTTGAAACTTTTATGGTTGGTGTACACCTTGCAAGTCACACCATACAAATAATGTCGTCAAATTTTCAAAACAAACATCACAACTGCCAATTCAAGATCATGAGTCGGGTAATTCTTTTCATGTGGTCAGAGTTGTCGAGAAGCATAAGCAATTACCTTTCCATTTTGCATTAATCCACAACCCAAACCTTTGTAGGATGCATCACTGTAAATCTGAAACCCATCAGTACCATTAGGCAAAGTCAAAATTGGTGCAGTTACTAATCTGGTCTTCAACTCTTGAAAAGCAGACTCTCTTTGATCATTTCAATCAAATAATATATTTTTTTGGGTTAACTGGGTCAATGGCATAGCAAGTTTTGAAAAGTCTTTCACAAATCTGTGATAATAACCTGCAAGTCCCAGAAAACTTCTAACCTTTGACACATTCGTCGATTTAGGCCAGTCCACAATAACTTCAATTTTTTGTGGGTCTACCGATATGCCATCCCTGTTGATTACATGGCCTAGAAAGGCTACGCTGTCCAGTCAAAATTCACATTTGAAAAATTTTGTATATAACTTCTTTTCCCTCAAAATTTGTAAGGCAGTTCTCAAATGATTCTCATGTTCTTCCATGCTTTTGGAGTAAATCAATATATCATCAATAAAGACAACAATAAATTCATCTAGAAATTGTTTGAACACCCTATTCATTAAATCCATGAACGCCGCAGGTGCATTTGTTACCCCAAATGGCATTACCAAAAATTCATAGTGTCCATATCTAGTTCTAAATGCAGTTTTCTCTATGTCTTCTGCCTTGACCTTTAACTGGTGATACCCGGATCTAAGGTCAATTTTAGAAAACACTTAGGCTCCCTGGAGTTGGTCAAATAGGTCATCTATTCAAGGTAATGGATATTTGTTCTTTACGGTTACTTTATTCAACTCACGATAGTTAGTACATAGTCTCAAAGATCCGTCTTTCTTTTTAACATACAACACTGGGGCTCCCGAAGGTGAGGTACTCAGACGGATGAATTTCTTGTCTAAAAGTTCTTGGAGTTGAACTTTTAACTCTTTCAGTTCAAAAATCGACATTCTATACGGAGTCTTAGAGATAGGTTGTGTTCCAGGTACTATATCAATGGTAAACTCAATTTCCCTATCAATTAGGTTTTCAGGTAGGTCATTAGGAAACACATCAAGAAATTCACAAACCACAGGAATAGTTTCCACGCTAGAACTATCCGAAGATACAATCATTACACTGCACAAGTAACCCGACAACCTTTTCTCAACAATTTTCTGGCTCTCATAAATGAAATCAAGTATGGTGGAGGAACTACCCCATTTCCAGTGAAAACATACTCAGGCATACCAGGTGATTTAAACATGACGGTTTTATTCACACAATCAATAATGGCACAATATTTCGACAACCAATCCATGCCCAATATACAATCAAAGTGGTCAATGCTCAAAGGCAACAAATCAGCGTACAATATCATATCACCAATCAAAACATCACATGCAGGATATACATAAGTGCACATCATAAAACTTCCCATTGGTGTAGACACAAATAGTATGCAATTCATAGGTTCTAATGATCTAGCCAACTTTCGAGAAAAACCATGTCATACAAATGAATGCATAGAACCAGAATCAATCAGTACATAGGCATTCAATGCACAGATAAAAATTATACCTGACACTACTGGTTCAGTATTCTATACATCCCCGGGTGATAGAGCAAAAACTCTCCCTTGACTTAGTATTTCATTCCCGGTGTTATTCTTGGCATTAGTTCTTGCATTGGGCCTCATTACAGGAGTAGATCCGGCTGAACTTACTGCTGGATGATTTGCATTGTCAAACCTCATTGGACAGTCCTTAATTATGTGGCCGATTTTGCCACACTGAAAACACGCACCCAATGCATGATGACACATGCCTTTATGTTTCCTTCCATATTCTAAACAGATTGGCATAGACCCACTACTTTGGCTTGAGCTGCTTGAAGACTCAGTATTTTGCTTTTTGCTCGCGAAGAAAGAGCGGCCCTTCCGAAAATTAGATCCAAATCTTTTGCTTCTCTATTATGTTGTTGGTGCCTTGGCTTGTTTCATTGCTGCTATTGTGGCTTCCGCCATTATCGCTCTATTTGAAACTTCCACATAGGTAGGCAATTTCAAGGCGCCAACTCAGCCAAACATTTCCAAATCCAGTCCGTCTTCAAATTTTTGTGCCTTCTTGTAATCAGTATCCACCATATGTGGAGTAAATCGAGCCAACTCAGTAAATTTGGCCTCATACTCAGCCACGGACATCCTGCCTTGTTTAAGTTCTTGGAATTCAGAAACTTTCCGATCCCAGAAACACTGAGGGAAGTATTTATCGTAGAAGATCACATTAAATTGTGTCCACGTCATATTTCCATTACTATTTTGGATTAACAACCACCACCTCCAGCCTTCATCTTTCAGATTATAGGTGGTCAGAAGGACTTTCTGAATCTCAGAACAAGAGAATACTTCAAATAGTTTTTCCATTTCGAGTAACCATGTCTCTGCTTTTAACGGCTCAATACCACCTAAGAAAGTCGGCAGTTTCATTTTCAGAAACTTCTGAGTTAAATTTATGAGATCATTGTTATCCGACTCAACCTAGACCGGCGGGGGAGGTAAGGGTTATTGCACCTGCTGTTGTTGAGTCATTGCCTCAATTAAAGCTGCAAGCATTTGTTCCATACGACTCATTCGAGCCTCAGATGATTCAACTGTTCCATCACTTCTTGTATTTTCCATTTGCTATAGGTAAACAAAATATTATAAACATAGGCAAATAGTCCTTTTACAACATTCAGATCATTTGTTTCCATATCATGTGATCATAATCAGATTTATGTTTTCACTTTCAATAAACAGACACTTACACATGCGGATGAAATGTCCCTACTTCTTACTAGGACATCCTAAGCTCGTATGAACTTATGTGTGCGGTAGAACACGTGCTCTGATACCATTATGTCACGACCCAAACCCGCCCCTATAGGTTTAGCGTCGTAACTGGCCAGTAATCCTTGGATTACCAAAGGCCTCTTAACATAAAAATGTATAATTAGGGACTGCGGAAGCAAATATATAAATTATACATAGTCCATTGAGTGTGAAAACATACATGGGACAGATAACCTTAAACTTTCATAAATTTACAAGTGACATCAAAAGATACAGTATTTGCATATCACTTTATGTATATATAAACAGAAAAACTTGTTCGTAGAGAAAAAAAACAAAGTCTTATACATTCATAACAACACAGCCACTAGACTTGACTTAATTCGGAACCTCCTCAGAAGGCACAAAGGTTGGTTGACAAAAACTGATACATACATAATATAAATAGTGAGCGGGAGCCCAGTGAATAATAACATAGTAAAGGGTTAAATGAATGATGTCCCATAACTAATTTAGAAATCAGAGTTCATATCAAAACAAATTCACATCGAATTCTTGTTCTGAGCATATATAGAAACTAGAGTTCATGCTTAATTTTCCATGGCTTATCCGTTAGTGCTAACAGATCATTTACAAAGCATCTTAGATCATACTTGTCAGTTCCATAAAGGAACCTCCGACCGGGTACGGATAACTTGCCAGTTCCAAAAAGGAACCTTCGAACTGGGAACGGATAACTTGTCAGTTCCATAAGGAACCTCCGGTCCGGGTGTGGATAACATACTTGAATCATAGTATAAATACCACAAACATTTATCAGAGTTGAACAATCATTCATAGTATAAAACATGACATTTCATAGAACAGATCTTATTTCATATACAAAAAATAATTTAACTTGAACATAGCTTTACTAAGTTATTACTCACAGATAATAGATGGCTCTAAGTAAATGGACAAAGTAGGCAAATCAAAGATTTTGTGGCGCATGACCTACACAGATACAGAACGAATACGTACTGAATTATACACCTGAAGTCATCAACTTAGTTCTTTTTTGTCTTGGTGTGTTCTACTTCTTTATCCTCATTATGGTGTCTTAAACTTGGCCTAGGTATGCCTGGGACGGAATAAGGATGCAAAAATGTACTTGAAAACACTTAATAAAAATTGCTGAAAACAAGGTCCTCGCTCGAGCGTAACTTCCTACGCTCGAGCAAACATGCAAAATGTGAGTGGTCGCTTGAGCGCAAGATCTGTCGCTCGAGCGGTCTGTAAACTTTTGCAAAAGTGCTGGTTATTTGATTTTTCCACTCGATGCTCACTCGAGCGTGAGAGACATGCCCTTGCTCGAGCGCAACTTTTGTCGCTTGAGTGGCCTACAAAATATAAGAACTTCTGGGAGCATGCATTTCACGCTCGAGCAGACTTCAGGTCGCTCGAGCGTGGATTCCTTCGCTAGAGCGTAGGAGCAAAATTCTAAAATTTTCAGATTTGCTCCCAAGCTCAAAACTTAGATTCAAAGTTGTAAAACATGGTCTCTAGGGCCAAAAACTTGAGGAAGCTATAGGAAACACTTATAAATGGTAAAACCATATCATCTCACAAAACCAAAGCTCAAAAGCTTGTTAATTATACAAAACCAAACTTGAAATGTTGAAAATATAACTTGCATGTAATGGTATGAGTTTTAACCTTCCAAAACATAATCAAATGTAGTAGAAACATGTGAAACGTGATGAACTTCCAAAATCAAGCCATGATCAATGCATGCATGTTAAGCTTCCTCAAAATCAAGCTCCAAATACAAAAGAATTTACATGTAAGTATGATTATCTTTTTAATTCTTCTTCCTAAGCTTAATTCTTGGCTTAATTAACTAATTCTCTTGAATTCATGCATTAAAGACTAAAAATATACAACTAAATGAGTGAATTTCTACCTCAAGCCTTGAATTCTCAAGTGTAAGAGCTTAGTTTTCCAAGTTCTCTCCAAATCTTTCTCTTTTCTAGTAATTTCTTTTGATTGAGCTCAAGTCTCACAAAATTCTCAAGCTTAGAACTAAATCTTCCCACACACACACACTCTCTCTCTCTCTCTCTCTCTCTCTCTCGTTTGTGTGTGTTTGTGAGCTCAAAAATGTATATAAAGTGAAGAAAAAGAATGAGTGGGGGTATAAAAGGTACCTTATATAGGCTTAGATCAAAATTTCATTAGTTAGGCTTAATTGAGTATTAATTATTCTAATTTAATCGTTCTGAATCGAATTTCAATTAAATCTAGCATAAACTTCTAAAAATTCCAATTAACACATAAATCAAGTCGATTTCTAAATTAGATGCTGATAAGGCCTTCAATTCACAAACCGAAATAGAAACATGAATAGATCTTTCTACGTTAAACAGCTATAAACACATATAAGGCAACATATGATGCAACATTTCACTTTAATTATTTATTAGGCATAATCAAGCATGGATTAACGTTAATCATGGGTAGGGGTTGTTACCTACATGGACATCCAAAATTTACTCCCATTGTGCATGTTGGGCTTTTTTTATTTATTTATTTTAAATTTTTACTATTTAAAATATATATATATATATATATAACAGTTTGTGTCTACCGGATAAGAAATGTTGGTATATGTAACATTTTCCTTTTTATTTTTTTTTTAGTGATAATTATGGCTTTTAGAATTCCTTATGCTTCCTCAAAAATAAATAAAATCACACTGTTATTTGTTACTATTATTATTATTTTCATTATTGATCAAAATAAAATGACTCTTATACACAAGTCAAATTTAAATACATTTTGAAATTGATTGAAATTTTGAAGTCTAAGGCATACTATAGTTTCTCTAATTTGCAAGGGAAGCAGTACAATTTATCCTTTTTTTAATAAGAATACTATCAACAACCAGTATTAGGCGCTCATTAAAAATCAAGTAATACAAGAAAAAAAATTCTCAATAAAAATTGCAAATATTTATGGTGCTTGTTTGGAGTTTACTCTAAAAATGAAATGATTAGGACCAAAAAAAAAAAAAAAACTATGCTGCTCAATAAAAGTTGAAGTATTTATGGTGCTCAAAAAAAATCTCTATATTCTAGTTATCAATATCAATGAGTCAAATGAGTGTATTAGGAGTAAAGTGGAGTGAGAATAGCGACTCTCATAATTTTTTGAAAGAATATCAAAAAACTAAAAAGCAGAAAATGTATTAGGAGCAAAGTGGTGTGAGAATAGCGACTTTCATAATTTTTTGAAAGACTATTAAAAAAGTGAAGAGCAGAAAAATAATTTCAAAATGATAGAGGTACAAATGATTTATGCATTAGATTATGCAGATACTTCCATCATTGAAAATTATTTTTTAACTTTTTAATTTTTTTGAAATTCTTCCTAATTTAATGAATTTATATTCTTTAAAAATTGCTCTATTTATTTATTACTTTTATTTCCAACAATCAAGTGAAAATTATTGTAGAATGTAAAACAAAAATGGACAAGATAGAGATGGGAGGGTGCTACACGGGGCACAACAAACGAAAGATTGATGAGATCCAATAAAGCAAACGAAAGGTTGTTAGGGATAAGTTAATCTATTTTGGAGCTTATATTGTAACTATATAAAACAGAGATGGAATGGTGCTATGCTGAGGCACAACAATCACAGTTGTGCGGTCAGTGAAGCACATTTTGAGGATTGTTTTAATAATTTATATCGTTCAATTTTTAGGATATGTAGATTACAAAACACTTGCAAAAAAATAAAGTAGATCAAACATGGTTAACCGTTTGATCAAATTGCATTTGTATCTACAAAAATGAATTACAAATATGATTTGAAATATAAAACTAAATACAAATATGAGTCAATGAAATGATTCACGATATCTACTCAACTTGATTTTTTACAAATATATTCTACTCGATGCACTCTAAAAAATGAATGGTTCAGATCATTGAAACAAATCCTGAAATTGGCTCCAATAATGACACAACAGTGAATGTTGCGCTCCTGCAAAGCAGCCACCCAAATCGGGATAAAACTCACATCTCATTATTATCCTATCTTCAAAAGATGTGTTACGTCTCTTTTTTGTTTGAGAATAGTAAATTTCGACACAATGGCCTTGTTTAGATAGTTGGCTATTTTAATAGACTATTTTAATTTTTGACTATTTTAAGCTAAAATATTTGTGTTTGAGAAGATGGTTGAATTTTTTTGTACTTGGATGTGCTGTTTCTGATATAAAAAGTGAAATACGAATAAAATTCAAAAAAATTCTATGGTTATAGCGACAGTGAAAAATTGATGGAATAGAGTCAAAATATAGTAGACAAAATGTCACAAAAGCAATGGTTGTAGCAGCAGTCAAACCGTCGTTATAAAGGTATCAAGAAATGGGTAAATTTGAAATATAGCGTCGTTTATAGTCGTCGCAAGAAAAATATTTATACAAGCAGTTGAGAAAATTCTACAACATATAAGAATTTTAGAGACCAAACGTTTTGGTGTCTAAAAGTGAAAATTTTGTTACAAAAGACATTTAGGGACCAATTTCTATCGTCATGAGGATGATCACTAAAAGGTCGTCCCAAAAAAATCAAGAATAAGGCTTTTAGTGACAAAATTTTAAAAATGTCACTAATAACTAGACTTTAAGGGATAAAATAATTTGGTCTCAAAATGATTTATTTTTTGAGACAAAAAATATTTGGTTCCAAAAGAATAATAATTCATCACTAATATTCAATTTTTGTTACTAAAAATCTAATAACGACACTTTCGCAACAAAATTATATGATCCCTAAAATATAATTGTCCCTAAATTTTG